TTTCCTTCGGGTTGCGACCAATTCGGGGTGCGACCAGAGTCACGGAACGGATTAAGTTCGTAACCCGAGGTACCACTGTAGTTAAAATTCATTTAAAACAAATAATTAACAAAAAAAATTAGGTGCAATTTTAAGTGAGTTTTGATAGAAAACTGCAACATTATTTATTAGAAATATATCTGTATTTAATATTGATGGAAATTTACAAATATAATATTCACCAATGCTATGTTTTTTCTATGCTAGTGACCTCTGGATGTTAGATTAAAACTTCCATTATTTTTAGCCATCATGGTCAAGGAAGGAAGAGCTATTGCTAACTTGAGAAAACAATAGTTGACTAGACAGATACATGAGTGTTGTGCTAATTTGCCTGACACTTGATAAAAATATTCCAAAATATATTTATTCAGAGAATATCCATTATTCAGACTATAATCTGTTCAGATATGCTTCAGAAATATAATCTTTTCAGTTCTAACTCTGATGCAATGACTATGAAAATAACTTCATCTTTTTAAAAAAAATATATTAGCACTGACATCAACTAATATTACTGTGTAGGTAGGAAATTGGAATGTAAATTAAGTAAGTAAAAATGATCTTGAAAACATCTGTAACTCCAGTGTGAAATGTGTTTGTGTGTATGTGAGAGAGAGAAACCTAAGAACAAAATCTTACCTGAAAAGCAAAGGGAACAGTAGAACCCATTTAGAAAACTGGGTGGCAAGGCAACCGCTATTCACCCTCAAGAAAAGAATTCTCTGTAGAAAATAGCCTACTGTAAGATTGCATTTTAAACAGCTTAGTGTGGCTATAAAACTGTTCAGCTGCTCCAGCATGAAGTTAATGCTCACGGGGGGAGGGGGGACTTAATAATTATAGCTGCCAACATGTTTATCTTTTATGGTAATCAGAATCTTGCCTTATGTAAGGAGAAAGGACCCCGAATCACCTACTAGTGGTTCTATTCAGCAACAAGCAAAGATCACTTTTTCTGCCCATTCAAAACTTAAAACCTGTGTTTGAGTAGTCATGCCTTCACATGTTGAAAGTTGCCATTTAAGAATGTGACAGGTCAAAGAAACAGCAACTTTCTCTGCCCCGTCTTCCCCATATGTTAGATAGGTTCACTTTGTGACCAAGCATTGATCCAGGAAGTTACATTAGATAAGAAAAGCACCGGTCATCCTTAAGAAAGCAGTTCTACTTCCCATCTTCCACCCACGTTACAAGCCTCTTGTAAGTACATTTGAAATTGTAAATGCAGCCTTTTCTAAGTCCAGATAGCTGTGCTATAGATCTTATAATCTTCAGCCATAGCCACACCAAGTGGAAATTATGTGGGTTTGTTACCATTTATGAACTAAAACAGAAGTCAATTAATAGGGTTATTGAAGAATTATAGTGTAACTCCCATGAACTGACTGGGGCCGAGTCATGAATTAGTTTATTATTTTGGGAAAAACAAAATGATAGGTAAATATTAAGAGTCTACAATACCGATCACTTTCTATAGGGAAAACCAGATTTATATATTATAAGATCACGGCTGAATTACAAGGGGATGGGAATCTTTGGACTTCTAGCACTTTTTGCATTTGTACTGCTACTATAGGAGTTTAACTTCAGGCTGCAAGTTTTAAAATGTTGCATTGTCCTGTTGGCTGAAACTGAAGCTGCCTCAGGAGAATGATGGAAGCATCCAGCATCTTGATGAACCAGAGAGAACTTGGACAAATGATCTCTAAAGTCAAAACCAAGAACTGTGTATTTCTTGTTGAACAAAGAACTACTGCTTTGCATTGCCTTGAGTAACATTAGAGTATCTGCACATTTAGTTCTACCTTTGCAATTCAATTGTTCTACTATAGTTCAGACTAAACAACATTTTGCATTTTTAAATCATTACAAATCTTACTTTCATCTAGCCTCATTGGAAGATTTATTTATTCATTTA